TCCGTGAATTTTTAAGTTAAATACAACTGTAATATATCACAATCTAAGTTAGTCCTTCCTCTATTTAATGCAAGTTATTTCTCTTTAAAAACTTTACTTGTTTAGAAGTTATTACGAATCAAACAGGAGTACTTTTTTTTGGGCCACCCGGCATATATATATATATATATATAAAATACTTATTAATATACTTTACATTTTAATTGAGACAATAGACCCTCCAGACGTTCCGTCAACTTGGCTATAGAACTCGTTTTTGTAATTCAGATGTTGGGCTTTAATTCATATCACGTACACGAAAACGATACTCTCTAGCCAAAGTGCACTCCACAAGTGTGATTTTCTTTACAACACTGCGTCTTTTGTACAGTATACATGTGCATCTTATTTGCTTAAAGGTTATTCTATGAAAGTTATTAATATATATTCGTGTAACATCAGAATTTGGATATCTAAGAACAAAAGACACGATGGGATTGTACAAGGATCCAGTATAAATGGCAAAACGAAGTTTCGTTGCGTAAAGATCAAAATGCCATTGGGACATTCATAGTACATGAAATAAGTCTCAATGTGCTTTTCACGCTTAGAAATAGAAATCGTCCGGTTATAATTTTGGATATTTAAAGGAGAAGCTTGATTAAATCATAACCAATATGATTGTTATATATTCGTTGACTTAACTGTCATGTATTGAATTTTTAAAATCCAGAAAAAAAAATCCTGTCGAATATTTCAAGAAACACTTACTTGTAACACTAGAGCCATCAGCAACGACTACATCAGCCATTCTAGTCGGAGTAAATCCAGTTGTAGCAGGTTGAAGGTTTTGCTGCTCAGAGGCCGTGGATTGGGTTTCATTTGGAGACCTACGAAAGTGTGCTGGATTGGCTGTATCTGGCACATTTCGGAAAGCTGCCAGTTGCGTTTGCTGAGGGACAGATCTTTGTGGTCCATTGCCGTTTCCTGGCATCCTTAAAGTTGCTGCATTTCTGTGTGGATTGGTTTGTAATGTACCGCTAGCAGCTGGGTTGACCAAAGATTGACGACCAGTGTTCATTGCATTGAACATACTTTGATACATTGTAGTGGAGCGATACTGGGAGGTTTGGGCTGCATTTGCTGCTTGTTGTTTAATTGCTGAAGTTTGGCGCAGTTTACTATAATCACCAAGAAGAAATGCGTCGATAATATACACAAGATCAATTCTGACGATGGATTCAAAGAAATGAGAAAGTTGACTTAAATCTGAAGCATTGATGACCGCTTTTTGATCAAGTTGAAAGAGGATATCGGTAGCATTCTGTGGGTTGTTGATTGAGAAATTCTGACTTGCCCAGTTATTCAGTTTTACGGCGTCGCTGGAAAGAAGTCGTTGACTCAAGGATAGTAACAGGAGCTTGTAGTTGTTGTACAAGGTTGTTGCCACAGATGTAGGTGGTACATTACCAAGGGATATGTATTCTGTTCCAGAATCGTCTTGTTGGACGGACAGCGATAAATTTTCATAGCTTTGGCGGGATGTCAATGCTAAAGCTCTGGCTCCCTGGACTTTTCCAGATTGATTTATTCCCTCTCCGCCACTTGTCTTCTCCCTCGATGTATTACTCGATGAGTTTTGCGTTTGATTCTCATTGCTAGGATCCTTGATTGTTGATATCTCAGTACTTTGTCGATCTCCTCTTTGAATTTCGCTTTCGTTTTTGTCACTTGTGACTATCTCTTCTTTTCCAGGTTGATGATTACTTCGTTGCACCAAGGCCTCGGCCCCTTCGACATGCTGTTCAACAGAAGTGGCTGGATAGATAACTGCTTGTGCATCTGCCCTTTCGTTTGTGGGATGAGGTTTTAGAAACCTATTTAGAGAGCCATTCATACCATTACTTGGTCTGCCTTTGCTGGTAGGCAAAACAGTAGCTCCGGATAATGGGGGACGATATATTTGCTGAAATAATTGAGATTTTCTTTCTTCGTTTTCCTTCGCAGTTTTCTGAACATCGATTCGCCCAAGGTCAGCCAAAGTGTCTTCGTATTTAGCTTGTAATGACTTCGTTTCATTTTTAAGAAAAGCGATTTCTTCTTCCAGTTCTTTCACTCTCAGAGATAGCACCGGAGCTGGTGGCTGGGGGAAGAGAATGGAACTTCTTGATTTCAGCGCGCTGTCTTCATTTTCAAAACATTTCAACATCTTCTCAGACTTCATCCTTCTTTCGGCCACGGGATATTTAACATACACATCAATCCCTTGGGTAGTCGAATTGTTTCCAGTATCTCGTTTAACCTTTGGCTTTTGTTTCAGAGAACGATCCTCAAATTTCCCGGATGGATTCACTGAGGTTTGAGATGAAGCATCTACCAATCTACAGCACTTCTCGTTTCCCTTAGTATTCTTGGTTTTAAAATTTTTCACGCTAATTTCAAAACTTGGCGATGGATGAGCAGCTTTTTCGTCTTCTAAATCTAATTGGGAAGCTTCCTCCGAGATGCGGTTTGTTGTTTGGGAATCCAATGCAAAATCGTTGTCCAAATTTCTGTTTCCAGCCTTGGAACTTTCCGGGTCAAAATGATAGAACATCTTACTTTCGTCGTCAGCATCCTGGGACCTTTTGTTAACTAAAAATGTACGTAAAAAGTATAAGAAATTTTGAATTGTGCCAGTTGTGGAACGTTCGTGATAAGCACTTTGTCCACCATCAAATAACCGTTTCAACGGCTTAGCAGCTTCTTCGCTTGGACTCTTGAGATAGTTCTCAAACAAAACTAATGTAAAAGTTTTTTCAAAAAACAATTTTTGTCTCAGAAATAAAATTAAGTAGTTCTCAACTCGATATTTGATCAAAAGCTGTTGCTGTTTCTCTATCTGATGGTTTAACCCATTAAGCTGCAGAGCTAGGCGCACTGGGGCGCATTGCGGCTCAATCGGTTAAATTAAATATAAAAACGTTCTTGCATGGTTACATTTAGATCGTAATCAGAAATTGGAATTACATTGAATATACAAAGCTCAACGAATTTATTCACTACTGTAGAAGACCAATAGATTCTAATAATATTGCAACGGAGCTGCAGGGCTTATCTAAGCATTTGTGTCTCCAAAAATGTCAGAGTGGTCGAAAATTAGCTTTGAGGTTGTATTCAAAGTCGAAAACAGAACAGTTATTAGTGCACTTTCACTTTAGTTCGCCGAATTAACTGGCAAGTATAACTCTAACAGCATTGAGTGTTATCAAAGGCGTTTTTATGCATAGAAACAACTTATTTATTATAGCGAGCATGCAGGTCATTTTAGCGGGCATATATTATTTCTATATTTTCGGCCTATACAGTGTTTAAACACAGCACAAATGTGCCAGAACACATTGAGAACTCGGCCAGTTCTTCCGCAAGAGAGTCAGCAGCAATCAACCAACTGAAACACACCCTGTAGTGTGCTAAAAATAATGGAATCAGAAACCCAAAATTGTTTTACATAGCTAGCTTACTACCCTCCCCTCCCCCCCCATATACGTTGTTCACCAGTTCAACTAGTACTCACATCAACGAGCTGACTGACCTGAACGTGGGTTCCCCTGTTATCTAGAAGTTCACCTGTTCCATGGCGAAATGAACAGGTCGATGTAATGGGAAACTACACTTCCTTTGAAGAACATTACGAAGCTCGTCGTGATGAGATCAGTGAACAAATACAACAATATGCGGTTTGCAGTGAAGACTTAAATGAAATTTAACATCACTTACAAGAATGTGATGATGATGCTTATGACACAATAGCACCAGTTACATAAGACACTGAACGTCGGGATGAGAACGAAGGTAATACAGATACAAATTCAGATTTAAACGAAACATATGATATCTCTGAAGACTTGGGTATCCCATAACGGTTACCTAATAATGAACCACTGATTTTAAATGAAATGCAAGATGATGAATACCGATGTTTGGTCCAAATGCTAAACAAGAAACAAAGGGAATTTTTTTATCATGCTTTACATTTAATGAAGATATCTGATAATCCATATTATGCCTTTTTAAGTGGAAGTGGAGGGGTTGGTAAATCTCACTTGATTAAGTCAATTTATTAGGCTGCTATAAAGCACTATAACAAACGGGCTGGTGAAGACTTTCGTCGCGTTCAAGTATTATTGCTCGCTCCAACAGGAAAAGCAGCTTACCTAATTAAAGGAAACACAATCCATGTGCCTTATCAATTCCAGCTAGACAATCGCTTAAAATTTATAAACCACTAGACTCTGGCAGGTTAAACACTTTACGATGTGAGCTGTTTGCATTAAAGTTGATATTACTTGATGAAATATCAATGGTTGGAAACAGTATGTTTACAGTTCAGTTAAATAACCGTTCAAAAGATTTAAAAGGAAGCAAAGACGACTTTGGTGGTGTTAGCATCATCACAATCGGTGACTTATTTCAACTTAAACCTGTCATGGATGGCTACATTT